CCTTGACTACGTGGCAATCTTTGGTTGGTCCCGGACTTCTGGTGCGGGATCCGACACCAACAACCATGGCTGCACCAAGTTCCATGTCTGGTTCTCAATTGACAGACGCAGATCGTATCGGCATAAGCGGCTTGAATGATGCACAATGGAAGCAATTGAGACAAATGCTTGAAGAACGAAATCTCAACTCTACTGATACAAAATCGGGTACGTTCTTTCTTGAATCTTTGATCATTGATTCTGGTGCGACAAATCATATGACTGGTACTCTTGAATTTTTGTGTGATGTGTGTGAAATGGCTCCGGTGTTGATCAAACTTCCCGACGGAAGATTTACAACCGCTACCAAACATGGCCGTGTCTATTTAGGATCATCATTGGATCTTCAGGAAGTGTTTTTTGTTGACGGTCTACATTGTCATCTAATCTCAGTTTCGCAATTGACTAGAGCTAGAAGCTGTGTTTTTCAAATCACTGACAAAGTGTGTATTATCCAGGATCGCATCACTCTAACGCTGATTGGAGCTGGTAAGCAGCTCAATGGATTGTATTTTTTTCGGGGAACGGAAACTGCAGCGTTAGTGACACGCACGGGTTCATCTTCTCAGTTGTGGCATTGTCGTTTCGGCATCCTTCCTCCAAAGTTTTAAAGTTGTTGCCGTTTTCAGATTCTACTACTCATGATTTTGATTCAAAGACTTGTGAGATTTGTATTAAAGCTAAACAAACAAGGGAATCTTTTCCTTTGAGCAATAATAAAACAAGTTTTCCTTTCAAAATGGTGCATTGTGATCTTTGGGGTCCGTATAGGACTACATCAATCTGCGGTTCCAACTATTTTTTAACTCTAGTTGATGACTATACGCGTGCTGTCTGGTTGTATCTTCTACCATCGAAACAAACAGCTCCACTTCATCTTAAAAACTTCATCTCCTTGGTTGAACGGCAATTTTCTACAAAAATAAAGACAATTCGTAGTGACAACGGCTCGGAGTTCGTTTGTTTGTCTTCATTCTTTGCTGAACATGGGATTGTTCATGAAACATCATGTGTAGGCACACCTCAACAAAATGGTAGAGTAGAACGCAAACATCGACATATCCTCAATGTAGCACGTGCTCTTCGCTTCCAAGCTAGATTGCCTATTGAATTTTGGTGTTATTGTGCACTTACCGCGGCCTATCTTATTAATCGAACTCCAACGCCTTTACTTCAAGGTAAGACCCCTTTTGAGCTCATATATGATCGGCCTCCTCCGATTAATCATATTCGTGTCTTTGGTTGTGTTTGCTACGTTCATAATCAAAAGCATGGAGGAGACAAGTTTGAGAGTAGAAGCAACAATCTATTTTTCTCGGCTATCCTTTTGCAAAGAAAGGCTGGCGGGTTTATAATATAGAAACAGGAGTAATTTATGTCTCTCGTGATGTGGTTTTCTGGGAAACAGAGTTTCAATTCCCTACCTCTGTTTTTGATCCTCTGACAGACCCGCAACTTCTTCTCTCTGATGAAAACCAGTCTCTATCATCTCCACTTTCATCGTCGCAGGACACTTCCACTCCGCCATCTCCTGTTGCTCCTACTACAGCTCCGGATTTAAAACCATCAAACTCATCTTCTTATATTGATGATGATGATGTTACTACACTCTCCGACGACACTGCCTCCGTCGATGAGACCTCCGATACTGAGATTTTACATTCTCCGTCTCTGACAAAATCACAGTCTCCGTCTCCAACAAAATCATTGTCTCCGTCTCCACCAGAATCTATGTCTCCATCTCTGATTATTTCTGCTACTCCGACTGCTTCCTCTCCAAAGGCTGCAAAACCGGAACCGGAACTTCTTGGCATAGGAAAACGTGTTAAAAAGCCACTAGTGAGGCTAGCTGATTACGTGACTACTTTACTTCATAAGCCTCACCCGTCAGCAACTCCGTATCCACTAGATAATTACGTGTCTAGCTCATAATTTTCTGAAGCATACCAAGCTTATGTCTATGCCATATCCACTGGTATTGAACCTCATAGCTACAAGGAAGCTATCCTTGATGAAAATTGGCGTTGTGCAGTTTCCGATGAGATCGGCTCTCTTGAAACTCTTGGTACATGGACCGTTGAAGACTTGCCTCCGGGAAAGAAAGCATTGGGCTGTAAATGGGTCTTTAGGCTTAAATACAACTCGGATGGTACACTTGAACGTCACAAAGCTCGATTGGTGGTCCTAGGTAATAATCAAACCGAAGGTATTGATTATTCCGAAACATTTGCTCCCGTTGCAAAAATGGTTACCATTCGTGTTTTTCTTCAACAAGTTGTCTCTTTGGTTTGGGAAGTTCACCAAATGGACGTTCACAATGCGATTCTTCAAGGTGATCTTGATGAAGAAGTCTACATGAAATTTCCACCGGGTTTTCGTAGTGATGATAACCACAAAGTATGTCGCTTACGCAAAGCCTTGTATGGTCTCAAACAAGCTCCTCGTTGTTGGTTCGCCAAACTCACCACCGCTTTGAAAGACTACGGTTTTATTCAAGACATCTCCGATTACTCTTTATTCACTTTAGAGAGACATGGTATAAGACTGCATGTTCTTGTCTACGTCGATGATTTGATCATTACGGGTTCATCAGTTGCCGTCATTAATAAGTTTAAACGATATTTAAGCTCATGTTTTTACATGAAAGATCTTGGTATCTTGAGGTACTTCTTGGGTATTGAGGTTGCTAGAAGTCCCGCCGGTATGTATTTGTGTCAACGAAAGTATGCTATTGATATTATCACGGAAACAGGGTTACTTGGGGTTCGGCCTGCGTCTCACCCTTTGGAGCAAAACCATAAACTTCCTTTAGCATCTGGTGATACGATATCCGACCCTTCTAGGTATCGTCGTCTTGTTGGAAGGCTTATCTATCTTGGTTCTACACGTCCCGAGTTGTCATATGCCATCCACATTCTTTCACAATTTATGAATGATCCTAAAGCTGACCATATGGAGGCTGCTCTCCGGGTTGTTCGTTATCTCAAATCAAGCCCAGGTCAAGGTATTCTTCTACGCTCCAACACATCTTTGGTACTCACGGCTTGGTGTGATTCAGATTTTGGTACTTGTCCACATACGCAAAGGTCACTAACGGGTTGGTTCATTCAATTGGGAGGATCCCCAATCTCTTGGAAAACAAAGAAACACGATGTTGTCTCTCGTTCTTCGGCCGAGGCTGAGTATCGTGCTATGGCTGACACAGTTTGCGAAATCATGTGGTTACGTGCCCTTCTTCCAGCTCTTGGTATCTCGTGTAATGGTCCGGTTACTTTGTATTCTGATAGTCTCTCCGCTATTAGTCTTGCTGCCAATCCGGTTTATCATGCTCGCACAAAGCATGTAGGTCGTGATGTACACTTCGTCCGCGATGAGATCATCCGTGGTACAATTGCCACCAAACATGTCTCCACGACATCTCAGCTTGCGGATATCATGACCAAAGCTAAGGGCCGTCGCGAGTTTGAAGCTTTTCTTCTCAAGCTGGGTATTTGTAACCTCCATACTCCAGCTTGCGGGGGGTATTGGGCTGTGAGGCCCCTACGTAAGCCCACTTAGTTTGTATAGCTACACTAGGTTAAATCATCATGTTGTATAAAAGGCATTGCCTCTCTTACGTATTCAACAAGAAACAAAGTTTACAACATCATCTCTTTCTTAACAGTATATCAAATCATTGTAATTAGACTTCGTCATGGTGTTGAAACAACTTGAAAGTTCAACAAAAAATAGATACTTATCATTGTACTCAATGATGTCTTTTTGTGGGTTCTTGGACTCTTGGTTGTTAGAATTTATAATGTCTGAAATTGTTTTCTTCTTTTCTCCTCTGTTTATGGGGTCATGCTTTCCTTGTCTATAGGTAGAAAATCTTTGGGTGTAATGGGAGAAAAAAACTAAAAGATGTGGGAATTATGCGATAGATGAAGCTAATCTGGACCCTCAAAATAGTGCATCGAGCTAAAAAGGAACCACTTAGCCATTAGTTTTTGTTGATATCAAATATATTAGCCATTAGTGCTACATAACTTGCATTGCTAGAACCTAGAAGACACAAAGAGACAAATAGACAATAGGAAGAACAGTTGGACATGCACATCTCGTAAAAATTGTTCAATACTGATTGCAATCAAGCAAGCAACTGTAATAACTTTCATTTGATTAATTAATGTCGTCTACGTAAAAAAAATAACAATCTGTTTTTGTCAAACTATCACCGTCATCCACAAACCGCCACCATTGTCCTGCCGTCACAGCCTTCTAAGAGCATCTCCATCCGCTGATACGATGAGAGTTTCTCAAAAAAAAAAAAATATTATTTTTTTAAATTATTTCTTTTTTGTTTATTTTTAATAATTAAACCAGTAGAATTATGTCATGCGTGCAGAAACATTTCTTATCAGAGTTTCTCGTTTGAGAAACTGTTTTTTTCTCTCTTCATTTATTACTTTTTTAATTAATAAATTTTGGTGAGAAGCTCTCCTCCATTCCACCGATGGAGGTGCTTTAAGCTCTTTTTGTCTTCACAAATTTGAAGATTATAACATTTCTTCTCCCATAGTGAATGATTCTTCTTAAACTCCGATTTGGAAGATATGAGGATCCAAGAAAGAATATCAAAAAATGAAAGATAAAGATAAAAGGATCAAAGGGAACATAGCATTTATCCTTCTTCTCTTTTTTTTTTTTCATTTTTTTTTTCATTCATGCTATGATATACTTTTCTCATCATCATGGTTTTCTATCGAATAGTATAATATTACTTCAAATTGGTAATTATATTTATTCGAAAACAAAAATAATTTTGAAGTTGTTGATGGACTAAATGTTAAACTTAATTAGCACAATATGTATATATGTTTATGCAATTTTTGTTTTTGTTTTAGGTATTAAAAAACTTTTTCGTGTGAGAACCCTAAATCGCCACCGTCTTCATTTCTTGCCGTTCAATCAATTCGGGTATCAAGTAAAGCTGAATTATGGAGACGAAAAGAGTATTGTCATCATCTGGCTCCGTAGATTCAATCAGCTCTCTTCCAGATGATATACTTGCTCATATCTTATCCTTTCTTCCTACTAAACGAGCTGCTTCTACCTCAATCCTCTCCAAAAGATGGAGGACTCTGTTTCCACTCATGAATCTTCTCTGCCCATCTCTCTATCTAGACTACTCTGATTTACTCTATCCCGAGAGACAGACTGAAGAAGAATCTGTTGTTCAGGATAGCTTCAGAAATTTCGTTGATAAAACACTTTCAGGTTGTAACAACAATTCCTTAAAAGAAATTCTAAATTATGAAGATGATGATGTTCAACGCATGAGTCCTACCAGATGGATATCAAAGGCAATGGAAAAAGGCGTTTCGGATCTTGATCTTCGCATATATATGCATTTGATGTACGAGCCACCATGTCTTCTTCCTAACACCGTCTTCATTAACAACACATTGGTCAAGCTCACTTTAGGAACAGAGCTTTGTCTTGGTAATGCTCCTTTGGAGTACGTTGGTCTTCCCCTGCTTAAGAGTCTCTTCCTCCACACAGTTTGGTTTTCAGATGATGCTATATGTGATGTGATGTTTGATGGTTGCCCTGAGCTAGAAGAATTATACATACATCACATTTACATTGAAGATAGAGATCGCGAATTCAACATTCCTCCAGCACCTCATTATTTAGGCCACGACAACATCAAAAAACTCACAGTTTGCTACAATAACGATGTTCAGGCCCCTCGCGTTTTGTCAATCTACACACCAAATCTTGTTTACCTAGACTACTCTGATTATCTAACTTGTCTCTATGAATCGGAGAATCACTTCAATGATCTTTTAGATGCCCGCCTTAATCTTGTTTTCGCACGGTGTGGGAGATGGGGTAGTGAACACGAACCCTGTTTGAAAATCATTAATTCTATCTCCAATGTTCGGATCCTTTACCTTTCTTCTTCTACTGTTGAGGTATGTCTATCTCAATCTCAATCTCTTTCCTTTCATTTTTCTTTCTTTCTTTGTCTTGTTTGATGATTTGTTTGTTGCTTTGATGTGTTGCAGGTGATGTATGCATGCCTTGATCTTGATGAGATTCCATTGTTTAAGAACTTGGCCACTCTACATTTTGAGGGTGATAAAAAAGACTATTGGAAATTGCTTTGCAATATGATTGAAAAATCTCCAAAGCTAGAAACTCTAGTCCTCAAAGGTTTGTGCGGTGTAAGCGATTGTGGGGTTAACATTGATGGTGGAAATGTGGTGAAGGTGGTTGAGATACAAGGGTATAAAGGAAGACTTGAAGAACTGAATCAGGTGAAGTGCTTCTTGCTAGTAATGGAGAATCTTGAAGAGATGAAAGTGAACATTAGTGATGAGATAGAGAACAAGTTGCAACTCACAAATGCTCTTCTTGCTCTTCCTAAACGCTCACCCAAATGCAACATCCATGTCTTGTGATTGGGTGCTTGGTAAAATTCTAATTGGATGTTACTTGATAGGTAAGATTTCTTTCTTTACCGACAATGTTTAACGACGAAATCAGAAACATGTTTGATTCTTTGTTATTTCTCTTTTGAGTTTCCTCAAGCTCCCTTCTAAGTTTTTAACTTCAAAAATAAACAAATCTTTTCATTTAGAATAATGAAAGATATAAAAGAATTTTGGTTGTGATGAGAATATTTTTCGAGAGGTAAATAATTTGTCTCATTTCAGTACAAACTTACGAATTTTTATCTATGTACAAAGGGATCGTCAAGCTAATGTCTTGGTCTTGAGATACCACTTCTCTTTTTCACTATGATATCTAGTTGAGACTAAATATGAGAAAAGTAAATTTGTGTCCCCCGGGAGATTATGGCTTTGTCAACCAAATCAGTTCAAGTCGATCGTATACGGCTCTCTTACTTAGGTAATAATGAAGGCAGATAATGATTTAATACCAAACCTCATTAAGCATATTTTAACGTACCTCCAGACAAAACTCGACTCAAATACGAAAAACCTAAGTAATAAAAAAACATTGCATTGGATCACAACTTAGAAACACCAAAGAGCTTCTTCTATCAGTCGTCGTCGTATGAGAGAAGATAATCTTCTTAGGTTTAATCTCCAAAGCGAGGCTTAAGTCAGTCGTTAGAGAAGATAATCCTCTTACCGCAGAACTTAGGTACCACTTTCGGTTTGGTCTCCAAATCAAGGCTTCCTCCTCGAAGTTTGTCTTCATACCTGGAATATATATCAAAAACCCTCCCTTGTGATATCTCCATGTATACCAAATAACGTCACACAATGATAACAAAACTCTTAAGGCAAATAGGTATAATTGTATAAATCCCTTACCAAAGCTTCTCTGCAAGGTTGTACCTAATCAAAAAATAATAATAGCGTTATATAATTTTCTGTAATGACATCAGAACTATAGCACCAAGTTAGAGAAACCAATTTACTTGAGTCGGAGAGGGTATGGAGCTATCTCAGCCATGTCAAGACAAATCTTACTAAAGCGCAAACGTTCACCATTCTTCTTTTCCAGCGCCTACAGTATCAAAGGTTTAATGAGCAGCAATCATACTTTCAAATGACTATTTTTCATCATTACTATAAAACTACGCTTACCTTCTCTGCTTCTTCAGCAGAAGCAAACTCAATAAAGCCACAGCCCACAGGCTTACCCATGTGGTCTACAATAAGTCGAACACGAACAACTTCTCCAACATCTTTGAAGAAACTGATACTGTAAAAATGGAAGATAGATTCTCAGTCATGAAAAACAAGCTCCGAGAAGAAAAGTGGATATTAATTATATTTAAGGTGCTACTTACATATCTGATATTTTAGTTAGGTGAGAGAGATTGGAAGCAAAGAGCGTCTTTTTTGTTACCGCAAATGGCTGAATTTAACAGCCAAGTGTGTTAGCACAACTCAAAGTAGAAAAGGACTTAAATTGCATAACAACAAAAAGGACTTTATGGCAACGGATGTGTTATGAAACGGTAAGCGTTTGTTCTACGCCTGACATATTTTGAAGAAAATAAGAATATGTACCTCAACAAAATCAGGAGTTTCATAAAGTCCTTTCACTGCCTCATTTTCTTCCATAAGAAGGCCTTCTCGTCGAAGGTAGTCATCGTACCTAGAACATCAAAAACCCTAGTGATCACTCCATGTATACCAAAAACTTCACCCAATATATATACTCTCGATAAGTTAAAAAAACTCAAGATGCAAATGTTAAATCCCTTACCAAACCTTGTGATCTACGCAATACCTAATCAACAAAAATAATAATGTTAGAGTCTTCCGTAATGGCATCATAACTCTAGCGACAATATTACATAAAAAAGTCTCCATAACATGGAAAATCAATTTACTTGGGTGGACGGTATGGAGCGTCAACCACTCGACGAACAATCTTGCGATCATGATTCCAGCGCCTACAGTATAAAAGATTTAATCAGCAATCGTACTTTAATATAACTACTTGCCTATTTTCATCATTACTATAAACTACTCTCACCTTCTCTTCTTCGTCAGCAGAAGCAAACTCAACAAAGCCATAGCCCACATGCCTGCCTTTGTTGTTTAAAGTAAGTTGAACATGAACGACTTCTCCGACATCTTTGAAGAAATTGATGCTGTAAAAATGGAGGATATATATAATATTAGTCATGAAAAAACTTGCTCCAAGATAGAAAGAGGAAATTAAAGATGCTGCTTACATATCTGATATTTCAGTTTGGGGAGAGAGATGGGAAACAAAGAGTGTCTTTTTCGCTATGGCAACCGCCTGAATTTAACAGCCAAGTATGTTACCACAACTCTAAGGAGAAAAAGACTTAAATTGTATATAAAAAAAATAATAGCATCATCTAAAGATTCATCCCAAGAATAAGTCATCTTTCAAAATAAGTCATCTTCTTCTAAGCCTGATATATTTTGAAGATATTAAGAAGTGGTACCTCAACATAATCTGGAGTTTCATCATGTTCTTTCATCAAATAAATCTGACGATCATGCAAATATTCGCCGTTCTTCTTTTTCAGTGCCTACAGTAAAAAAGATTTAATCAGCCATATAGTGCTTTCAAATAACTAATTATCATCATCACTACAAAACTACTCTCACCTTGTTTGCGCGGTAAGCAGAAGCAAACTCAACAAAGGCATAGCCCAGATGCTTACCCTTGTTGTTTACGATAAGACGAACACTAACAACTCCAAAATATTTGAATAAACCTTTGCTGCAAAAGTGGAGGATAAAATATCAGTCACGGAAAACTTGCTCTGAGAACAAAAGGACTTGATAAAATATAAGTCATTGCCGCTTACATATCTGAGATTTTAGTCTGGGGAGAGAGATTGGCAACAAAAAGTACTTTCTGAGATTAAAAGCCAAGTGTGTTAGCATGACTCCAAGGAAAAAAGGACTTAAATTGCATAGTAACAAAAAGTAGCCTCATCTAAAGAAAGATTCATCTTCAGATCATAAGTCATCTTTCGACTTTGTAGTGTTAGTTTAAAGATAATAAGAACATGTACCTCAAAAGAATCGGGAGTGTCATAAAGTCCTTCCTCTGCCTGGTTTTTCTCTATCAGAAGGCCTTCTCTGTCATCAAGTCCTTCCTCTGTCTCATCATCTTCTATCAGAAAGCTTTCTCGTCCAAGGTAGTCATCATACCTAGAATATCAAAAACCATAGCTAGTGATCTCTCCATGTATACCCAAAAGGGAAACTCCACCCAATGTAACAAACTTAAAGAGGCAAGTAGTTAAAATCCCTTACCAAACCTTGTGATCAATGCAATACCTAAGTAACAAATATAAAAGCGTTAAGTCTTCTGTAATGGCATCAAAACTCTAGCAATAAGTTACAACGAGAGTTATCAATTTAATTACTTGGGTAGAAAGTATGCAGGTTTCTTATAATTAGCCAAATGAAGAAATATCCGATGACCGTGCAAATATTCACCGGACTTCTTTTCCAGAGCCTAGAGTATAAAAGATTCAATCAGCAAACCTACTTTGAAATAACTACTTTTGAAAGGACTAGTTAAATTTTTTATGACTACAAAACAAGTCTCACCTTCTTAGCTTCGTTCGCAGAAGCAAACTCAACAAAGCCATAGCCCGAATGCTTGCCCTTGTGGTTTACAATAAGGCGAACATGAACAACTTGTGCAACATCATTGAAGAAATCGATGCTGTAAAAGTGGAGGGTAAAATATCAGTCTTGACCAGAGAAGGAAAGTGGAAATTGAAGGTGGTGCTGCTTACATGTCTGATATTGTAGTTTTGCGACAGAGACCGGTAACAAAGAGTGTCTTTATTGTTGCCTGAATTTAACAGGCAAGTAGTGTGTGTTAGCGCACGACTCAAAGAAGCCTCATCAGAAGAAGATACAGATTCTAAGAACAAGGTACCTCAACAAAATCAGGAATGTCATCATCAAGTCCCTCCACTGTCTCCTGTTGAATTGAGTAGACATTGAACATAAACTTGTACAATATATCTAACAAACAATAAAATATTTAAAAATTCTTAAAAAATTATACCTTCACTGAGACTAAATTAGCCTGGTCAGACTTGTGCTGGAGAGTATCATCAGAAAATCCTTTGGTTGTCTCCTCCTGTTACATATATGAGTAGCCGAGTAGCCATTATAAGACAATGGTGTAAAGAAAATTGTTGTAAGAGAATAAGAAGAATCCGACCATCTTAGGTTTACCTTCTCCTCGGATGTTTCTTTGTGTTTCTTGAGAATCTGTTTGGTCTCCAAATCATCTTCCGGGTTTCACTTACCTAAAAGAAGAAGAGCAGCAAAAAAAAAAAAAGAAGTGAAAATCAACGAGTAAGTGAACATTAGATAAGAGCTCAGAGCCACACAAAACCAACCCAATAAATTAGCTTTGACGGCCGATTCCTTGTTAGAAGTGGCCATGGAGAAGATTGAAAAGAGAGGTTTATGTAATATTCCGGGAAGAGTCCGTTGAGAGCAAGCAATACGTTAATAACCCTAATAAATCTGGTTTGATCGGTATAACTAAATCTCCATCACTCACTTTAGGCTTCTGTATACCTGGGCTTTGGGTATCATCATCACTTGTGGTTCAACATTTTGGGCCTTCTTGTCTCATCTAATTTTAATACCAAATAATAAAATAAGTTAGACCAATAATTAAATGAGGAAAATGTGCATTGGTCTCCCATCAATAATTCATGAGACTAGGGTATACATGGGCTATTTTTTTATTATATAGTGAGCCCATTAACAAATTTGGAAAGATTTCGTGTAGCCCACGTGACTTTTTCTTTGGTACGTGCAAAAACCCTAATCTCCCCTTAAATAGCGAAAATTTCACGAAAACCCTAATCGCAGTCGATTTGCTTCTTTCATTTTTTTCAGTAAACAAAAAGAGAGAGAGAGCGATGAAGGTTGTTGCGGCGTACCTCCTTGCTAAACTCGGTGGCAATGAGAATCCATCCGTCGCTGATCTGAAGAAGGTCTTCGAATCTGTTGGTGCAGAGATTGACCAAGAGAAGATAGATCTGTTCTTCTCTCTGATCAAAGATCACGATGTGACTGAGCTTATCGCTATTGGACGTGAGAAGATGGCGGCTCTTTCTTCCGGTGGTCCTGCGGTTGCGGTTGCTTCTGGTGGAGGCGGTGGTGCTGCTCCAGCCACTGAGCCTGCGGCGGCTGAGGCAAAGAAGAAGGAAGAGGAGAAAGAGGAATCAGAAGATGACGGTGGAATGATGAGTCTCTTTGATTGATCATGTGATGATGGTAGAATCTTTCGATCTGCGTATTATCTTATCGTGTTTTATGTCTTTTTCTTAATTAGGGTTTCTGGATTTTGTTGTTTCCATGGATTATTATCGTCTTTGGTAACTTGAGTTTGGTGCGAATAAATGATTTTTGTTTCTGATGATCAGGTTCATTTTGTTCTTTTGAACATTTATGCTTTAACAGTGAATGTCATATTCTACTATCGAATTTTCGATTGATGAATATTGACATTTTCCATTGATTATTCTAAGGATTTTGTAGTGTTCAAGACTATGCGAATAATTTAACTTATTTTGTTTCTGATATTTCTCAACCAAAAGCTTTTAACATTCATGATTTTTACTATAGAAACTATATATGTGCAGCGAATGACCGATTTTTACATATGATCAAATTTTGTATTGAATATAACGACATTCTCCATGGAGATTAGGGATATTTTTCCTTTTTTTTTTATGAGCGAATAACATTTTGTTCTGATGTTCTTCAATCCAACTTTTGAACATTTATACTTTTCAATAGATTGAGTGGCATTTTTATAATTGACGATCAAGTTTGGTATTGAATCAAGACATTTCTATAAAGACTACTCCTTAGACTATCTACATTGATTTTGATTTTACAACACCCACTTTTTTCTTTTTAACATTCCACATCATCTTCTTTCTTCCACATCATAATTCAATACCTATATAATTTTTACTCTCTACAATAGTTTTGTTTAATAAAATTACAACAATGTTGAAGAGATTCAACTCTGTTTACTCCACGTGATTCCACATCATAATTCAATACCTATATAATTTTTACTCTCTACAATAGTTTTGTTTAATAAAATTACAACAATGTTGAAGAGATTCAACTCTGTTTACTCCACGTGATTCAGCAGTTGAATAAATATTTCAACTGTTTTAAAAAGCACCATTGTAAGTAGTCTTAGTGGTTTTGAGAATGTTGAAGAGTTTTTTATCAGAATAAACGTTTTTTATTCTGTTCCTAATTAAATCCAATTTATTTCTGAATTCTGATGTTCTTCAATCCAATTTCTTCATTTGTCTTTTGACTAGATATCAAATCCGTGATCAAATTTTGTATTGAATCACCATTTTCCATGATTGATCGTAGTAGGCACTTTCTAAAGTTTTTGGCACTGTTTGTTTCTGATGTTTTTCAATCGGTCAATCAAGTTTATTCCTTTGACTATTTGTGCTCTCTTTTTTACTTGAAACCGTATAACGCCTAGCAATAACGTGAATTACTTTTTTTTCCTACAAATCTTTGATCGAATAATTGCATTTTCGGTTGAAATATATGATTCCTCTCGTATAAGCCAATCTAAAGTAAAAGCTTTTTCTTTCACCATGAGCGACCATAGCATAAAAGATGATACAAGTCATTTTCTTTCTCTGTGTTGTCTCATTTCAGTTTTCTTTTCAGAAAATTTACATTCTCTGGGAAAAAGTTTTTAGCATATTCAGAGAATAACTGTCTGAAAAAAAAGTAGAATTTTGTGCGCAAAAAGAATCATTCATGCAAAAAAGGTTTTTGTTTTGTCTTTATAAGAAAGCTTAAAAGCCAAACATGGAAGTATAAAGCTAAAAATTTGATGTGGGGACTAACATATATGTCTTTTTTTTCATCTGTAAGTTTGCATTTTCACTTTTCTCGATTACACCACAAAAAATGAATCTTTTTTTGGTTACTGCAACAAAAGACTAAAATGATTATTGCTTTTTTCCTAAACCATTTCCCAAACATTGTGTTTTATGCATTGCTTGAACATAAATGGATATCAACCAAACCATAACCTAACCGCAAAATGCATAATTGTTGCTTAATACAGAGGCAAAAAAAAAACCCAAAAAAACCCTAAAAGGGGAAAAAAATTCATGGAGAAAATGAATACATATTACTAAACAGTTTCATTAGAAGAACTCAAAATCTAAATAAGGACCAGATGATGAATCTGATTGTTTTGAATGCTTGCCTTGTTGTTGAACCGATGACTTGAGGGTTTCATTTAGTATCGAAAGATCGATTGGTTTCGGTATTTCTGGTGGGGTTGTGCTTCTTATTAGAGCCCAATTGACATTGTTGAAGAAAGGATGTTGCTTTATCTCTGTAGCACCTTTCTTGAATCCTAATCTCTTCTTAGGATCTTTAGTTAGCAAACCTCGAATCAAATCCTTAGCTGCAAAGCTTATAGATCCTTCGGGAAACTTTAACGGTTGCCCAACAACATTGAAGAGCGTTTCGCGGTTTCCGTTTCCTTTAAATGGCGTTTTCCCTGTTAACAACTCGTAGAGAAATATACCAAAAGTCCACCAATCAACAGAACTTCCATGACCATCTCCTCTTATGATCTCAGGAGCTAAATACTCATGCGTGCCAACGAATGACATAGACCGCGCATCCGTTGGCTCAGCTATTAGCATTGGGAGTGAATCTGAACCAGCTTTTTCGGTTTTCGCCTTTCGTGGTTTGTTGTTGAGGAAACGAGGCTTGAAGCACGATGGTTGGATACAGGCTACAGGTAATTTGCAGGATGGGTCTATGCAAGGAGGTTGAATACAGTACGAAGCAATATGACAAGACGGTTGTGAAGTTGATTGAATCAATGTAGGACTCACGAAACTCTGCAACGAAAGATCGAAATCCGAAAGCATAATGTGACCATCTTCTCTCACCATTACATTCTCTGGTTTCAAATCTCTGTACACTACACCCATCATATGAAGATACTCAAGCGCAAGAAGTACTTCAGAAGCATAAAACCTGCAAATTCAACAACATAAGAAACAGACAAAACAGAGGATCCATTAGAATGTGGAAAGATTCAATGTCTTCAGATTCTTAGAAGCTATACAAAACAATCAAATCAATTTGATTTTCACTCTCACACAAACCCAAAAAACATTGCCAAGAAAAAGACAAAACAGAGGATCAAGGCCTCAAATGTTTTTTCAGATTCTTAAAGCTACATAGAAGAATCAAAGCAATCTGATTTCACTCACAAACAAAACCCAAACCATTTACATGAAAAGACAAAACAGAGGATCCACTAGACAGAACAATCAAAAACATTTCTGTTCATTTCGATTTCACTCTCAGACAAAAACTCAAAACAAGAAACTAACCTGGCGGCTAGTTCGGAGAAATGTTTTCCGGGCTGTTTCTGCCGGAGAATATGAAGATCTCCGCCGCTACAAAACTCCATCAAAAGACAAGAAAACTTCTCAGTCTCGAAATGAGAGTAAAGCGTAGGCAAGAAAGGGTGATCCAACAAACCCAAAATCTCTCTCTCAGTCTGAGCTCTAACCAGTTTCTTCCTACCAATCAACATTCCTTTATCCATCACTTTCATGGCAAAGAAACATCCCATCTCTCTAAGCTCAGCTAAATACACACTCCCAATATCTCCACATCCCAACTTCTTCAACAACCTAAAATGCCCTAAACCCAGATCCTCGTTTTTACTACACTTAACACTCTGAATCGCGTCCCATCTAAGATCGTTCCCTTTATGTGGCTTCGAAGGAGCAAAGACCCTTTTGAAATTAGCCTCGTTTGCATCGAAAGATTGAGACTTTTCGAGATTAGCTTCACTGCTTACACTGTTACTGCTACAGAAACTTAAGCTGATACTATTGTTAAGCCTAACGTCTTCAGAGCCATTACTGCTAGTTTTGAAGCTTGCGGATCCAGAAACTGGACTAGCATTGGCATTGTTGTAATTGGAAGAAGAACAATCATGTAAAGAAGATTCAAGATTTGGAGTTTGGTTACTCATAACTGGAAGAAGAAGAAGAAGAAGAAGAAGAAGAAGAAGAAGAAGAAGAAGATCGAGAAAGTGGTGAGAAGTGAGAAAGAAGAAAGAAAGATGTTTCCTTTAAAGAATCTATGGGTTTTGTGATGTGTTGTTGATGGTCAAGGCTCTGTGATGTGACTCGAGGTGGTCAAAGAGAGAGAGAAAGAGAGGATTTTTTGAAGACATTGAGATTGTTGAAAAAACAAAAAACAAAATGTGTTTAATTTTTTTTATTTATGAAGGAGAGATTTTTCAAAATTTGAAACAGTGGCTATGTGTGTGGAGGGTAAAATGGAGATTTTATTTAATTGTTAATAGCAATTAATATTAGTGTTAAACCCAATGAAGTTACTAGTGGATAATACTCGTATCGTGTGTCACGGTGAAGATTTATATTTATAATATAAAGTATATTTTTGTAGTAAAATGTTCGAATATTTCATAGTATTTGTTAGGTGTTAATTTGGTATTTGGAAAATGTATATTGTCAATAGCCACGTCCAGTAACCAATTAGTTAGAGAATAATTCAGAATTAGTCAAAACAAAAATATTATTGTTTTGTATACATGTTAAAATAATATAAAATCTATAAGTGTGATATCGTATTTAGTTTTTGAGAAATTTTTATAATGATTTTTTAATAAGAAACATATCTTAAGTGATTATCTTGACCAATTAATCGTGGTTTAACAAACAAAATGTTGATTGTGTTTAAAGAACTTGACCAAATCGAACCATTTAAATGGTTTTGGCCGTTTAGGCAGACATTTAGACTTTTTAAGCAAAGAGAGAAGAGGGTGAAGTTCACGAGGAGAGCACAAAGATAAGTAATTTTTATTTTAATAAAACTAATCCAATATAAAACACAATTACCAATACTATTTTGGACCTTTATTTGTAAAATTTCAACATTTAAAACTATGTCCAAATTGTTTTTGTAAATGTACAAAGCCACCCGTTTAGTAAATTTTTATTTAGAAAAAGTATTAGGTTTGATTGGTAATCTTATACAAAATAACGGTATATAAATCGCTCTGATAATTACTAAATATAAAAATATTACGAAAACCGATACTCTCAGTTTATTTAGATGGCTACTTTGTATATTTTTTAAATTGTTTTTGTATCGTTTCTCATTTTCTATTCTCTAATTTTTTTTACCGTTTTGTGTTACCAATCGGATTTATTGATATCATACTATCATCTTATTTAGTGTACTATATATAATGTATTGCCAATAATATAAAATACAAATACTGCTATCAGTTTTCAATTTCTATATATATTATAGTTTATCATAGGAACGTAATTTTCAAATCCAAATTCAGAGCATATA